AGACGTTCTTGCTTTGGGGAAATACTGCTGTTTGTAACATCATCCTTTCCCATCCACTGCCCATTTACAGAATTGATCATAAATATGTACGGCGAAACTTTGTTAAAAGAAAAACAAACCAGCCAATTTAATAGAGTTTTAATAGAGCAAATCTTAACACAATTTAAATCGGTAGACTTTTGGACAACTCCGGCCAGCCTCATGGTCAACTCGGGCTTTTAGGTCCGCAGAACAGGAAAGTTTTGGACATAAAACATAAGTGAAGGCGTGAGGCAGAGAAATCATCGGTTACATTTTAAAGTCTGTCTGTATTAATATGGTTTAAAAGGCGAGATGCGTGTGATTGACTTAAGTCTAGTTGCTGTGATTGGCTGTAACTAAGCAACCAGCTCAGAAAAACAGCCTAACTGTATGATTTGGCTTATCCATAGGAACCAAAGTGTGAGTGCAGCCGCCGTTTTAGGCCAAAATAGTTTAACTTGCTGAGGAAAGGCCATCTACTTATTGTTAAATGATATATTGTTTGTAATCTGATCTTCCACTCAATAAATACGGAGCACAAGAGAAGGCCGTATTGGAGTGCTCTCGGATCCTCAGCCCCTTCTTTAATAAATATATTTAGAGGACAAGTCTTTCAATATGTGCCCCACTCTGCATCTCCAAGTCCAGGCAAGTAGCAGCTCTTAAACTTCCACCAGACACCAGTATCACTCCAGGCCTTGTTAAGACACACATTCCAGGGGTTTACCCGGAATTTCTGATCCTGAAAGTCAAGGGTGGCTCCAGAGAAATGTGCATTTCCAGTAAATCCCCATTTAATGGAAAATCACACCTTGAGAACAACTGCCCTTGAGACTCCAGGAAGGATGGTTTACAAGTGCGACCACCAAGATGCATGTTTGGACATGTTCATAACCACATGTTTGGGGCCGGCAGGTGGTGTGGTGGTTATGGCATTGGACTCCCACATGGCCAATCATGGATCGAGTCCCGGACCTGGTGATTTGCTTCCTCACTTTCCCTTTTTCTGGTCAAATTAAAAATAGTAATAATGATAAATAAAATTAAATAAATAATTCAAAAACAAAACAAAAAAACGACACAAATTCACACACCAAAACAAACCTCCAGGGACCATCCTCATCTACTTGACACGATTTGCTCCTTGTTAAATGAAATTTATGAAGCTATTAAGACTGGGTTCTTGCACTAGGACCCAAGCAGATCAACCCAAATCAGAATGAAGTCATCCGGAGCTAAGTGCTAGGGAAAAACTGACTTTTGAAACAAGTCAGTTTAAAAACAAAATCGGGAGATTAATAGCAGTGAACAGCAGCGAATCCGGACTCAGTTTACCTGAGCAGTGGACAAGGCCATCCCGTTTGAACTCTCTGACACAGCCCATCCTTTCGTTCCTTATTTCCGCTCTTTCCAGCGTTTACCCACCTCCTCTGCTCAGCTCTCGGAGCAGGGAGCGGCCTTGGGACACAAGCCACAAATCCAGTCTGTATAGGTGTCGTGAATGTATTATTTTCTTGCCACTCACACGACGCCAAGGTTTCTGTCCGTTTCTACCGACACCCGGTCATCCTGTCATCACACCCCGGCTCAGCCCGACTCCCGCCCCTCAATGCTCCCCAAAAGGCCGGCTTCCGGTTCGGAAAAAATACCGGCCACCGTCGAACCGACGCTCTGTGGGACGCTGCCGCCGACATTCACGTCGAAGGGCACGGCACCTGCTCCCTCCAGGTGGAGCGCCGTTTCTAGGGATGTCCGCACCCCCGCGGTCCCCGAGGCCGTCCCCGCCGCCGCTGCGCCCGCAAGGCCAAAAGGCGTGGCCGAGGGGCGTGACCGAGGGGCACGGTCGAGGGGGCGTGGCCGAGCAGACCGCCCACGTGACCGCGCAGAGCCCAGCGCCGCCGAGTCGCGCGATCCGCCGTCATATCAGCTTATGCCGCCGGCCGCTGATTGGCTGGCTGCCCTGCCTCTGTGCGCGTGGGCGTGGCCCCGCTAGGGGCCTGTTGTCCCGCTGCCGCGGCGAGCTCGGACCCACGTCCTCAGGAGCAGCGCGCTCTGCAGGTAAGGACTGTGGTGGGCCTGGCGGGAGGCGGACTCCTGCGGGCGGGGAGAGGAGCCTGCTTACACCCGGGACCGCAGGGCTGCGCGGGTCAGTGCCGGGAGTTGGCCCGGGGCTTGCGGCCGGCGACCTGAGACCTGGGCGTGGGAGGGACAGCCTGCGGTCCGGCTGGAGGACAGTGCAGCGTTCCATGTGGGCTCTTGGGATCTCGTAGCTACGGAACTCCACCCCTTGGACACGGACGCTTCACTTGGCAACCATTTCCCTGACTTCTCGGAGGGATCCTTTATAAAGGGGTAAAGGAACTAGGTTAAAGGTCTGGGCAGGGCCCGAACTTCTGACCATTGTAGCGCAAGCGTCAGCCACTGCAGCGGGATTAGGATGGAGGGGCAGCCATTCAAGGTGTGGTAAGACTAGGAGAAAGGAAGTTATCTATTACGTGGGCAGGACAAGACAAACGACTGTCCTGATCCACTGTTACAGCAGAGTGTGTGCGAAGAGTGCAAGTGAAGAAATCATTTCCCCAGTGGGTAACGTTTCCAAGCTGGGAAGTTTGGCAATCGGGTATTCTTAGCCAAAACGTTCTAGGAGGTTACCTTTCTTTGTATCACCGTTACTTATTTATTTTTTTAAAGAGATTTTTGCTATAGGTCCTGTGCACTCGCTAGAGAGAGACAGAAAGCGGGAAATCACCCTCAGGTGAGTGGCCATGCAGCAATCCCTTCTTCTCCACTCTTCTCTTCGGATTTTGGGCGTGCATACACACAGGTGGGCATGAGTTTTAAACCGCCAGGTCCAGGACTTGAACTGCTGTGGACTATGTGGAGTCCAACAACATAATCATTATGCCATCTGCTGGTCCAACCATCATTTTGGTCTTTAAGTTTTTAATGATGAATAAGAGATATGTGACCCCAAGTTTTTTCACAGGGTGCTTTTCCATTCATTTTATAATGAAATTAGCATGCAATGGTACTGAGAATTCTTCATCAACACATATAATATGTAGAGAAAGAATGTAGTCACTAAGAGAGCAGGCTCTGGGGCCAGCAGATGGTGTAGGCGCTGGACTCCCACATGGCTGACTGCAGTGTGAGTCTTGCTTGAAAATCACACCAGGCATGGGACCAGCAGTTAGCGTAATGGCTATGTCGCTGGACTCCCATGTAGTTGACTGCGGTTTGCGTCCCGGACCCGGTGGCTTAAAACTCATGCCGGGCGCGTGTGCGTGCGTGCCCATGATCCCGAGAGGAGAATGGAGGAGAAGGGATTGCGGTGTGACCATCCCCCCTGGGGGGTGATTTCTCGCTTTCTATCTCTCTGCCTCTGTCTGTCTGGCGAGCACACGCACCCTATAACAAAAACCTCTCCAAAAAAAAAAAAAAAAAAAATCACACCAGGCACATGTGCGTGCATGCCCAAGATCCCAGGAGAAGAATGGAGAAGGGATTGCGGTGTGGCCGTCACCTAAGACAAAAACCACTTTAAAAAAAAAAAGAAAAAGACAGCAGGCTCTGAATGTATATCTTCTCTGTTACTTGTTAGTGTGATTACAGAACAAATTATTTAATTACTCCTGACTTAATTTTACAAATTTATAAGGTGAGAATTATAGAAGTTTCTACATCATGGAATTAGGAGAATGAGACTAGGTTATACCAAAACAGTGCTTAAAATACTACCAGGTTCTCAAATGTTAGCCAACCTTACCTGTACTATTAAACTTAAGCGAAAAGGTCATAGTTACAGATTCACTCATTCTAAGCCTAATAGTTGGTTAACTGTGTTTTAAGAAAAGATTTGTTTCTCTAATGGTAAAATAGTGTTCTTTTAAGGTTTTTGCCATAGAGGACATGCACTTGCAGGGGAGAGACGGTGAGACAGAAAGTGAAAAATCACCCCCCGGGGGAATGGTCATGTTGCAGTCCCTTCTTCTTTTCCTGGGATTTGGGAGACACACACACACACACACACACAGCGTGAGTCTTAAGCTGCTAGATCTGGGACTGGAACTGCAGTTGGCCATGTGGGGGTCCAACGCCTTAACCACTATACCACCTGCTAGCCTGGGTAAAATAATACTTAATGTTAAGTTTCTGTTTCAAGCAGTGATGCTTAATTCAGGGTTTGTGAAGCCCCTGACTTCAGGGGATAAAATCGCTTGAGGTTATATGACCTTGTAGTGTCACTGAGAACTTAAAAATTAAGAAGTTGGAAGAGTCCAGGTAGTGCTGAAGAGGCAGAACTGGGTAAGGTCCATGATCTATTCAACCAGATCATGTGTCTGAGCATTTGCTTACCCTGTTACCCTGAGCAGATCATTTGGCTTTGCTGTGCCCAGCTTCCCCATCTATAAAATAATCTTAGCACCTAACTCTTGAGGTTTCTTGAAAGGGTTAAGTGAGTTAATGTATGTAAAATAGTTACAGTACTTAGTATAGAGTACATATGAACATTAGCTCTTATCAGTTATTTACCACAAAAATCAAATGGCAGCTTTTTCTACTTTACATAAGTAATTTATGGTCACGCCACAATCTCGTCCCCATTTCTCCATCCCCTCAGGATGTGGGGCATGCATGCTCATGTGCCCGTGTATGTTTCAGGCCTACCGGATTGGGAAGCGAACCTTGATGCGCCATTTGGGATTGGCTGCCTTAATCACAAGGTTACACCAGGCCAGTCCCCTGACTGAGTTTCTAAATCTTACAACACTTCTACGACAAAGATATGTCATCTCCACTTATAAACTGACTTCGAAATCATTGCCACTTTGAGATCTTATTGTTACCTGTTTCAGAAGGTGTTATGTGCTAGATGGCAGACATTACAGCAGTATATTCACGGACACCTAATTACTATATTCAAAAATAGAATGAATTGAAACCAGAATTCTAAAAACACTTAGAACATAATATCTAAACTGGAGATGACTGAGGTGAGATTTGTCCTCCCTACCAAGCACTGGTTTATTATTACAGCCATAGGTAGTATGCAGGGAAGAGATAATGTAGCAGAATTAGTGTGATTTCCAGGGAAGAGATAATGTAGCAGAATTAGTGTGATTTCCAGCTAAAAGTAAAATTAAGAGCTTATTAAAGTAAAGGACTGGGGCCAGCTGGTGGTATGGTGGTTAAAGTGCTGGAGTCCTGCATGGCTGACCTGCAGTTCAAGTTCCAGACCTGGCAGCTTGAAAATCATGCTGGGTGTGAGTAAGTGCATGCTCAAAATCCTGAGAGGAGAATGGAGGAGAAGAGATTGCAGTGTGGCCATCCTCCCTGGGGAGTCATCTCTCATTTTCCTTCTGTCTCTCTCTTTCTCCAGCAAGCGCACACCTCCATGAAAACAAAACAAAACAAAAAATAAATAAATAAAGGACTAGGATCTTATTAGAGTTCTTTTTAAAAAACAAAACAAAACATACATTTGATAGTAAAGGTTGAATGGAGGAGATTGAGTTAGTATCTGAGTTCCTTTGGCTACAGTGCCCTAAGGCAGGTACCTATTTGATTAGGGCGGAGTGACACCATACCTAACATGTAGATTAGTTCATCAGGTCTGACCAGCCCTTGTGCTGTAGCAACATCCTTTTCAGTTAGTAAATGATTCTGTTTCCTGGTATTACTTACTAACTTGGTAGAGTAACCCTGCTACACTGTCTCTTGACAGTCTCCCTTTATGACTTCAGCTACTACTGAAACTACCTCGTTTTGAACTTCACATTCATATTTATTATACATGTGGCCTGTTGCTTATATCCAGGAGCCCAGATGATCCACAGGCAATGAGATTTTTTTTGATTTTTAACATTATCTATTGAGGCATCAGGAAAGTCATGACATGATTTTCTATGCAAAAATGCATCATGACTTTCTCAATGACCCAATATTTATTTGTTGTGATTTTTCAAGCTGCTGGGTCCGGGACTAGAATCACGGTCATCCATGTGGAAATCCAGTACCTTAACCACTATGCCACCTGCTGGCCTAGGCAATGAGATTTAAGATCCAAACTGGCCAGCTCTGGTGGTTAAGGCATCTGGATCCCCCATGGCCAACTGCAGTTTTGAGTGTCAGACCCAGTGACTTAAGAAACAGGCCAGGTGCACATGCTTGTGTGCCCCAGATCCCCAAAGGAGGGAGAGCTGGAGGGAAAGGGAGTGCAGCTTGACTACTCCCATGGGGCTGCTTTCTTCCTGCTTGTCTGTCTGTCTGCCTGCCTCTGGCAAATGCATGCACTCTCTAGCAAAAACCCCAAAACACAAGAACATCAGTCTTTACCCACATCCCCATCCCAGCCCCTCCTGAATCTACCACCTCTCCCAGTAGCCCCTGTTTTAGTTAGTGTGATACCACCATTCACTCAGGCAAGCTGAACTTTCAGTCAGCCTCGGTTTGTGGCTCTTTCACCTTGCAGTGTCTGTGTCACCTAAGTCCTGTGGGTATTTTACCTGCTAAATCTCCTTAGATTGTGGCAGCTTCTCAGAATCGTTGTGTGAACTTAGCTGTCATCCTCCCTGAAGAAATGCACCGTGGGAGTAACCAAACTAGTCTCCCTGCTTTTCATCAATGCCTCATTCCTCACGGAATGGCTTTTAGGAGGTGTGAGTTGGATTTACCTCTGTTCTGTTCAGAAATCTCTAGTGTCTCATTGTGTGTGAGAAAAAGTCCAAATTTCTTGGTGAGATAGCAGATCCTGTCATTGTCTAACATTAATCTTCTTAAACTGGGTTCATTCCTTAAATTGTTTTCTCCATATGATTTGGCACTTCCACACCTCGTAAGCCACGAATGTACTGTGACCCTCCCATGCCTTTGCCATTGTTACTTCTATGACTATTTCGTTGTTGTTGGTTTTGCCAGGGGGTGGGTACACTCTCCGGAGAGACGCTGAGGAAGGGAGAGAAAGTATCCCCAATGGAATATGAGCACACCACAAGCCCTTCTTCATTTCTCCAGCCTGTTGGGATTTGGAGTATACATGCACACGCCAGTGTGTTTCT